GATGATTGGTACAGATATACAGTGCCAGTATATAATAGTACTAAGTTCATTAGTTCATCAGCTGAAGCTCCAACAAATTGATCAATGTTATACTGAATAATGTTAGCTCTAAAGCTTAAGAAGCCAAAAGCTTGAAAGATGCCACCAATAAAGTAAAAAATCTCTAAGAGTGTCTCGTAGCTATAAAACTGATACACGAGTAATCTGATCCCTCCTATAATCCATGATATAAAACACAATACTATACCAATCAGTATAGCTTTGTATCTTCCAATCCATACATCAGCTAACAGACCAAATAAAGAAAAGAAAAGAAAGCTAGACTAATGACTATAATATACCCATATTTGTGACTGGAACTTTGAGGTACACTCACTTCATGAAAGCCGCTGAGTATAAAGTAGAGGGTAAGATCATGAACATACATCAGATAGTCCCAAAGTAGAACCAAGACTACTGAAAAGATTGCTCTGTGAACCATTTCTACTCTGATGTAAAAATGAATGTGTACTGTACATGTACTATTATGCTTTAGAAGAATAAAGGGAAAGATATTGCAGAAACTGAAGTTAGGAGATTATCAAGTGTAGATAAACAAATAATTAACTTATGCCGATGGTAGCAGTGACTGTAGTGTATTACTTAATGATGATGTTTATCTACCATATCCTATCATACAGTTGTAATTTACTATAGAGTACAAAATAAGTACTTCATAGTCAGGTACGTTTAAACAACATGAACGCAGGGCAACAAAAACTAATGATCAATGCAATAAAATAAAACATACATGTACATGTACATGTACGCACCGTATTATTTGCATGCATAACAACAGAATTATACTATTAATCCAATTATACAAGTCAACATGTACATTTACTGACTCACTTTCTAATAACAGTGGTTAGTTTAGGTTGTTGAGGAGCCTGAGGCCCATTAGGACTTCCCTCGTCACTCTCCTCCCCTCCAGGATTATCAATCTCATCATCATCCAATTCAAATAGCTCCTCCTCTCCCTCGCTCTCTCCTTCAAAAAACGAGTCCTTGGAAGGCGTGGCTTTCGAGAGTCGCTTCTTTTTGGATTGATGTGTCTGTGGTGTTGATTGCTGTTGTGTCTGTTGTTGTTGTTCTCCTACTAACTCCCAGAAACACAATGACCTGTCTGATCTCCACTGACGAAACTGCTCATATCCTTTAAAGAAAATGTCCAACGAGTCATATAATGTGAAATACATATACTGTACCATGTACACGTACAGTTATAATCCTTTAAATGTTAATAATACAAGCACACACTATAAAAGTACATGAGTATTACAAATTAAAATTGTTTAGACATAGAGTTGTGGTTCATAGTGCTTATACATGTACACGTATGTACATACATTTACACACCATGTTTAACCATTCCAACTAACAGAGACACATCACATAAACTGTTCCACCATGGAACTGGAGGATCCTCTTCTGGCTTAGGAGGAACAAAATCAAGATCCTTATCATAACAACAATAATAATAGGGTAAGTAAATGTACTGTACATGTACATGTACAAATATCATGTAAGTAGAAATGTACATTAAATGCTAATAGCCCAAAATGATTATGTTGGAATCAGCTCAAGTTTTCCACACAGCATAAGGACATCAATATGTATCAGAAAATGTAATAAAAATTGGGGTTGATTTCAGAGCCAATTTTTTGAGAAGTATGGGCTATTTTAGCCTTCAAAATTAGCTCAAACTTCCTGCACAGTATAAGAGCATAAATATAATGTATGTATCAGAAAATGCTGACATATTAAAGCCAATTTTTTAAACATGTCTTGGGCCAAAAATTGTACTTTAAAGATCAATTTTTTTTGTTTTAGCATGCAGGATATCAAAGAATGAAAACTCATTACATAAAATACTCACTTTGCAAAGGCTCCAGCTTTAAATTGTTTAATGTAAGGTTTCATTATCTACCAGCAAATTAAATGCAACTGTCTCACCCTTAATAATATCCTAATAGAAATAAAATTAAAATAATCATGTACACAAAATATACAAGTACTATGTACATGCTTAACAATTACATGCACAATGTAGATGTACATGTACTTATAGCTGCAAAAATATTAGACATTTAGAATAGTACATGTATATAAATTTACTTCGTTGAGTGTCGTCTAAGATGCTTCATGTACATGTATAATTCTTCCTGAAAGAGAGTCTCAGGATCTTTAGCCATTAAAGCAAGATAGTCCTCTTCAGTAAAACCAGTGAAGTATTCAGGAGTTGAGCTATCTTCAGAATGGTCTTCAGTTTGAATGCTAGGGTCAATCATTTGGTGGATGTAAACCTTGACTTTCTCATCACTAGAAAAATATGAAGACAATAATTATTATATTAATTAAAATAAATGAGAATAGAAGTAAAGAATACATAAATGACAAATTGCATAGCATTACTAGTATGTACTTGTACATGCACATACATTGTACAGTACTATGTGGTACTCTATACTGTTTGTACATCACAAATAAAATTAATGAATTACCAAAAAGTGCCTTTCCATTACAAGCTATTAAAGTACCACAAAAACAACCAGACACAAATAAACATGTACATGCACTTACTAATATAACACCAACATGTACGTGTACATGTACATTATGTGTCAACTCTCACTTAATCGTACGTACATGCATAGTATTGTGTCATATTCCTTACCATTGTTCTTAATATATTCTCTATGTCCCTGATATTCAATTGTCTCTTTTTAAAGTTACACTCAACAAGCATGTCCACCCACTGTCCCCACCTATAAACCACACCCACTAATTAACAGTAACCATAGCAACCACTAACTATAAACCAGTAGAGCCTTCTCAATCTTAAAGCACTTCAGTTTGGTCTATCCTTTCTTTCCTCTCAATGGTAATATGTCCAGTATCTCTTCTTGACTCTCATCCATGTCAACTATTGTCTCCAGCATCTCATCACCATAGCAACGAACCTGTCTCCTTACACGAGGCTCATCCATTACAAGATTATCCTTAAAATAAATTTTATATAAAAATATACATATACAATCAGAGCTAGCCTACTTTAGAACACTTCCTTAGTTCCATCATAGTGTTCAATAGGTTTGGTACTGTGTTGCTCCCTTTAGTCAGAAAAGTGAAATTCCTTTCCAATATTGCTCTGTAGTACTGCTTCTGAATAGCAGTCAGCTCGATCTAATGTAAATAAAATAATGATTAAAAACTTATAAAATTAGCCAAATAATATTCTTTTTAGCATGCTTTTCATTAATACAAATGTTGATCGTATGTGGCATGCAATTGCTTGTGGGCTATAGATTGGTTTTCACATTAACAACAGTGTCAAGTTTCAATTTCATTACGAGAGCCAAAACATATGTAGTTTATCTTATCATATAACAAAAAGTGTACTAGTTTTTATCATGCTAATAGTGTCAATTGATATTTTTCTTTCCAATGCAAAACATTTAAAACAAATACATGACAGATCGTACAGCATGTAGCAATTCATTATAATCAACTTTCTTGAATTGCATGAATTCATTATACAGTACATGTAGGAATGATTATGGCAACCAGTTTAGCTAAGCAACTAGCTAGAAAGTGGCAACGATTCCTTCATATTACTCCTTCAGCAGTCTTGGTCCTAGTATGGAACTTCTTCATGTATTCTTATTACATATTACTGAGTCGTTCCACTGCTGTATTTACTACAGAAACTGCTCCTGCCCCTTGGTATAAGTATGGTTTAGTCATTATATATTGCTTGGGCTATTTCTTTTTTCCTTTATTTGGTCTGTTAGCTGATGTATGGATTGGAAGATACAAAGCTATACTGATTGGTATAGTATTGTGCTTTATGTCATGGATTATAGGAGGAATTGGATTTATTGTTGAAAGCTACTTTGACCACACTGAAGCAGTGATATGGACTTTCTTTAGTTTTGTGTACATTACTTGTTTTTGCGGTTTTTCCAGTTTCTCTGCTAACATTATTCAGTATAACATTGATCAACTTGTTGGAGCTTCAGCTGATCAACTCAATTCTGTCATATACTGGCATATACTATCTGAACCACTTGTTTTATTCCTTTTTTACCTTCTTCAATGCTTATTTTATAGTAGTAAGTATTTTATCATGATCACTTTCATAGCATCAGGTTTATCTGTATCTCTTGTACTGGTGTCTCATTCATTCTTCAAACACAAACTGGAAAACATATCACTGATCAAGAATCCCATCAAACTCATAGTTAGAGTATTGTGTTATGCCAGGAAGCACAAGTATCCTGAGAATCGTAGTGCTCTGACCTACTGGGAGGAAGAGGCTCCTTCAAGACTAGACCTGGGTAAGGATAAATATGGTGGACCATTCACAGAGGAAGAGGTAGAAGATGTGAAGACAGTACTTCATATGCTACCATTATTCATTGGTTTTTTTGTAGTGATTATCAGTGATGACTATTATTGGTCTGCTGTTGATGGTTTTACACTACCCACTTGCTTAGCAGTAACAGGCTCTCAGTATCATTTTTGTTCAGTCATTCTAATGTTAATTTATTTATTCTTTATCAGAGTTTGTTTCTACAAGTATATTCCCAGTATGCTGACTAGAATGAGTGTTGGTATCTTCCTTGCTTTAATTGTTACAGTTTCTAAAGTGATCATATTTGTCATTGAGAGGTCTCATCCTGACATAAACAATATTGGTAAACTGCTCTTTATTCCAAAAACTATACAAGCATTTTCTTACTTTTTTGTGCATCCAGTATCACTGGAGTTTACAGTAGCTCAGTCTCCAGTACACATGAGAGGAGTGATGGTTGGATTGTGGTATGTTACTTCTTTGGGAATCAGTTACCTCATTAATGTTACTGTTAACTTTCTTTTCCATTGTGAGAGTCAATACATATGTACTAGTTTCTATTATTATATATCAAAGAGTGTACTAGTTCTTATCATACTGATAGTGTTTGTGATACTGGCTAAACGTTACAAGTATCGTGTGAGAGAGAATGAAGTTAATATTTTTCAGATAGTTGATGATCATTATCAGAGATACATGGAACAAGAGGAAAAATATAAAAAAGATAATATTTAAACACTTTAGTTCATGTTTTATGTAGTTGCATATAACCTAATGTATTGTACTTATTTCATCACAACACCTGTGTGCCTCTTTTGAAGTAAACTTTTCCTTAATATTATTACATATTATTACTTTCATACTAAGATGATTAATATAAAAAAATTATTAAAGGAAGGTTAATGTTGTGTTAATTTATAAAAGCAATCAAGATTTATAATAATGGTTGCTTCTAGAGTACATGTAGATTGTAACAGTTTTTAGGTGAGCCTGAGTTTGATATGTAAAGTAATAATCTTCATACTACATTACCACTTGACTCTGTATGGCATTGTATTATACTAAAGCTATTAGAGTATGCATCAATCTCTGTATACAGGCATATGTAGTTTAATATAGTTCTTCTACCACAGCATGACAGTATACTGAGCATACTATTCTAAGGGTTTTCTTTAATTGTGAGAGTCTATACTAGTTACAAAGAGTGTACTAGGTCTTATCATACTGATAGTGTTTGTGATACTGGCTAAACGTTACAAGTATCGTGTGAGAGAGAATGAAGTTAATATTGTTCAAATAGCATAGTACTTTACTTTGGCGTCACTTTATTTTATAGGCCCTTTATTTTGGCAATTTTGCTGTAAATTAAATTGGAAATTATTATTTTGACAATTTTTGTGTACATGTGCATTACTGAGCATTGATATTAATGATTGGCTGTTTTAACATTGGCAAATCTACTAGTAAACCGCCGATTGTAAAAAATAACCCACCAAAAGGAACAATTTGGCATTGACGTACATTTACATTATGTATTAATAAGGAACATAATGCGTTTGTATGCTCTTGGGACTACAATAGCTTTATTTATAATGAAAGTAAATTTGTGTTATTCTTATATTATCACACTTAAGATAAACACATGATTTACAATACACATTAAAGCCTTCAATTACATTATTGTATTGTGGGAATAATTATGATGACCAGTTTTGCTAAGCAGTTAGCTAGAAAGTGGCAACCTTATCTTCATATTACTCCTTCAGCAGTCTTGGTTCTAGTATGGCACTGTCTCATGTATTCTTATTACATATTAGGTAGTCGTTTCACCGGTAGATTTGTAGATCAAGTTGCTCCTGCCAATTGGTATAAGTATGGGTTAGTCATTATGGTTTGTTTTGGTTATGTCTTTTTTCCTTTATTTGGTCTGTTAGCTGATGTATGGATTGGAAGATACAAAGCTATACTGATTGGTATAGTATTGTGTTTTATATCATGGATTATAATAGGAATTGGATTTATTGTTGAAAGATACTTTGTCTCTAAAGCAGTGTTATGGACTTTCTTCAGTTTTACTTGTATTACGTTTTTTTGTGGCAATTCGAGTTTCACTGCTAACATTATTCAGTATAACATTGATCAACTTGTTGGAGCTTCAGCTGATGAACTGAGTTCTATCATATACTGGCATACACTTGCTGAACCACTTGTTTTACTCCTTTTTTACCTTCTTCAATGCTTATTTTATAGTAGTAAGTATTATATCATGATCACTTTCATAGCATCAGGTGTATCTGTATCTCTTGTACTGGTGTCTCATTCATTCTTCAAACACAAACTGGAGAACATATCACTCATCAAGAATCCCATCAAACTCATAGTTAGAGTATTGTGCTATGCCAGGAAGCACAAGTATCCTCAGAATCGTAGTGCTCTGACCTACTGGGAGGAAGAGGCTCCTTCAAGACTAGACCGGGTAAGGATAAATATGGT